AAACTGAGAAGTGAGCACTTATAAAGCTAGGAATCTTTATTTGGATTAAATGCCAGTCTATATAACACATACACACACACACACTAAAATAACTAAGAGTTAAAATTTCAGTTTCTGTCTGTACAGTTTGGCTGCTTTATCCTCTGGAGGACCATAATACTACATTTTGAGAATGACAGCAGACCAATTCCACCAATATGTTAAATATGTGAAAACATATAATATTATTTTTGCTTTTTTTGAATTTTGAGAAAGGCCCCCACATCAAGACCACATATTATTTCAACTTTTGAGCCATTCCTTATAGCTTATTGGTCAATTATAATAAAATTAATTAAATTGTGTGTATATTAATTATCCTTTGGCCTAGTACATATTGTTATATATGTATTTTCGGGGTGACAAAAGTCATAGTAGTATTATTAAAAAATATCTTTTTTATTTTTAAATCATATATTGTGGGCATGAAATTGACCCACGTAACAGTACTGATAAAAGTTTATAAACTTATAATGTTGAGTGATTTTTTAGTTAAGAGTGTAATTGATAAGAACCATAAATTGATTTATAGCATATTTAATTAGTTGGCTTTGTAACCTTTTTATATGTAAACGAGAAGTAGGGTTTGGATGAAAAGAATGGTTGAGGGTATCTTTGGCATTTCATATGTTAAAATGGTTAAAAATCATCTTTCACCATGAAATGGCTATTTTTCATTTTTTCTATGGCATTACCACCAAACATTAATACCAAAGGTTGATCTGTGCGTGGGATAAAAAATAAAAAAATATAATAAAATGAAAAATAACGTTTTTTTGGCCAGAATTGCCACGTAGGTTTTAATAAATATGTAAAATTAAATGCTAAGCTAGTAATTATATATACTAGTATTCGGCCATGTGCATTTGGACAAATGTAACTAGAGTATTATAAGTTATATTTTTTTTTTATATTTTTAAAATTATAAGTTAGATAACAGTATTATATTTTAAACATAGAGTATTATATTATAAATTATATTTATGCATATAATATTAAAGTTATAAGTTAGATAATTGTATTATGTTTTAAAATTTGATCATGGTTAAAACAAATAATACATAATTATTGGTTGCATATGAACCCATATATTAATTGCATAAAATATAATAATAACTAATGTAGTTTTTATAATTTTGAGAGATTATGACCAATTAATTAGCTGAAAAATATTAATTTATTATGACAATTGCTTGTGTGATTTTAAATAATTTTACTATGACATTAAAATAAATTAATTTTTTAAAAAATACAGTAGCTAAATCAAATAAAAATATAATATTGATTTTAGAATAAATAACTTGACCAAAAATTTACAATAAATTTTATATGTTTATGTAATTTTCATATATTACTTAGTGTAAAATATAATTATTAGTTTTATTAATAACTATTATAAGATACAATTAAATAATATAATTATGACTCAAAATATAAAATATAACGGTTTTTGTCTTAATTAATCTTAAAAAAAGTACAATGAAATATTTTATCATTAATTAGATAAGGTGGATTAATGTAATAATAATAATAATAGATTGCAACGTAAAATGACAGTAAATAACAAATAGTTTTATTAAATTTTTTTAGTAACTATATATAGAAAGAGATATATAGACGATAAAGTTAAATTGTAATGGTTTTTAGCGGGAAAGTTATGAGGTTTTATTAAATAAATTTTATTAAATGATCTGTCACCAATTATATATATAGAGATATAGATAAGTTTATTTTAGTAGAATAAATTTCTTAGAAAAGTTTGAACTTATCTTAAATGTCAACTTAATGAGGTATCAATTAACTTTTTAGATATATTTACCGAACGTACTCTAAATAAATTTTAATTCTAGTTAATAGTTAATACTAGGAAAAAGCATCATCAATTAAGTTGTTGTTTGTTTAGTTGGCTTTATAAGCTTTTTATATGCCAAAAAATTGTTTGGCATGATGGGTTCTTTAGAAAAGCTATAGCTTGTCTCAAATGCCAACTTATGCGATATCAGGTAACTTTTAGCTAGTTAGAAAAGCATCATCAAATATTTTTAGATCATAGTTATCATTGGGAAAAAGGATCACATTTCATGCTACATGCTGTGTTTTCATTCAATTGGATGCATAAGTGAACAATGTTACATTTACAATGCATTACAATAATGTTCTATTATTTTCTCAAATTATCAACATCAAGTGTTCTATCTGAATTTTATATTTGTATTACGCGTCTCTTGTAATAAACCCCCTCAAAGAAACCTACACACCCACCATATACATATAGGACTCGACTTGTATTCCATTTCATTTCATATTCCACTAAATGCATCACACGAGTCTATAATAACAAGTAATTATATTTATACACGTGTTATACACTTAATGGAATGAAACGCGAGATGAAATATGAAAATAGGACTGAACATCTGATCCCCTTTTATCATTTGGGCTAAAGTTGATTTCCTTATGTTCACTAATGATGTGCATGTATATATAAAAAATTCATTTTAGAAATCAAGAACTTTAATTTCATGCCTTAGACTAGACCATGCCATATAATTTTCTTATGAATAAATTCAACATAATTTTAATCTGTAGCCGATAAATGGGGCAGGCCAGGGAATAAATAAGCCCAAGTGCCCAAATTAAAATATATAATCTGAAAGAATAGTGGGTTGCAATTGCATTTCACATTGTGGCCTCTTTAAAGCTACTTCCAAAGGGATAAGAAGCACTTTTTTCAAGTATCCCAGATGGGATGATTTTCTTACAAGAAAACACAAGTTGGCCTTTGATGTCTTTTTGACTCGAATAACAGCATTTTGTCACGATACTTTATGAAATGCCACAGTATTCTAGAGGAAAATTTTTATTTCTCTCAAGATTATTGGCATTTTTATATGATTTACTAATTTCTTTATGTTTTAGACTCTATCAACTCTTATTGGATCTTTTATCGTTCACACTCACACACACATACAAGGGTGTTAGCGATATCGACTCGTAAAACATTCGATGAGTGCAGTTTAGTAGGATCGAACTTTTGGTGTCCATTTTTATTGTGTGAACAAAGAAAAAATCTTAAGGTATAGACAGATATGGAGTATTAGAAATTTTATGGAGTACTAAAGGATGATATTCAAAGTAAAACAAAAAAATATAGCATTGCATACATAAGACTTCCTACTGCGGTATATAAGGAACTGCCTTCATGTCTTTTATCTCCTGAGTGTCTTGTGAGACATCTCTTTAGACAAAGGGATTCCATGTCGAAAGGACAATTGCCCACAAAGGGATTCCATGTCGAAAGGACAATTGCCCTCTGTTGGAATCCTGCATACTGAAACGGGCCAAGACAATATCTATGTATGAGGATTGAGATAAACACAACATCCTCTTCTCGCAATCTCGAATGACCTTGATCCTGAGAATATGTTCTGTTTCTTCCAAGTCTTTCACATCAAATTGCTTGAACAACCACATCTTCACATCTAACAACGTCTTCACTTGTTTTCAATGAGAAGAATGTCATATACGTGTAGTACAAGAAACACCACCAAGTTTCTGTCACTTTTCGTATACACACAACGTTCATCCGAACATTGAGTAAAAACGTTTAGACAACCTCGTCAAAACAGATGTTCCAAGACCGCGAAACTTGCTCCAGTCCATAAATGGACCAATTAAGCTTACAGGCCATATGCTCTTGGCCCTTTGCGATGAAACCCTCTGGTTGCTGCGTATAGATGTCCTCATCCAGATTCTCGTTAAAGAAAAGTTGTCTTGACATCTATCTGCCAAATCTCTTGACATCTATATGCCAAATCTCATAATCCATATGAGTCACAACAACCAAGAGAATCCTAGTGAACTTAAGCATAGCTACCGAAGAAAAAGTTACTTATAATCAATTTACTCTTTCTGAGTATATGTAGCACCCTTTTTTACTACTAAAAATTTCTAAGTCTTCGGCATACTTTAAACGCTTTCTTTCAGTTTCCCTATCAAGTTCAATTTCGAAAGCAGTAAACAAAGAGGGAACCACAAAAATATTTTTTAAAACATGCATCAAAACTCAACTTTACAACTCAACTGAATCAACTTACTCAAATCAACTTTGAGATCTCAACTTCTTCAATCTCATCTCAACAGCTCAAATCATAAATCATGAAACATAACATAATATCTCAAGTTCTAAACTCAAATCAACTATTTTATCATGCTAAATAAACAAGTCTCAAAAACTAAGTCAAACGCATAAATCTAAAATGGACTTAAGTATAGACCGAGTCTCCTTTTCTTGATGCCACACATTAACAGGACCAATCTACTTACCCTTGCCTTGAAAATTATATTTTTTTAGATTGTATCTATCATCTAAGTGGTATATAAATATTTTTGCATAGCCCAAAAATAAGAGTTTCACGTGGTCTGGATACCTGTTCTTACCAAAATTCCAAAAAATTATTGCCTCAAAAGACTTTAGTGCAAATGTAATCTTACGGCGTATAAGTTTTGACTAATACAAAAATAAATAAATAATTAGAAATCTGACCAGTCTCTCCAGTCTTCGTGGTCACATTCCTTGATTTCTTCTTGTTTCAATTTCTCTTGATTATTTTCCGACTAAGATTTTCTTCAACATCCAATTACATTTTCATCTGAGCTCTGTTCAGATTCTGCATTTTTTTTTTTTATCTCACTCGAGTTTTCGCTTCCTTTTGTTGAATTTTCACCTCGGCTTGCCTCAAAATCCGACCTTTTTCCCCATCATTGTAATTTCCAAAAACCCTTTTCAGTTCTTTATTTTCACCCCCAGATTGCTTGGTTCTCCTGATCCCCATTTCCTGAAAAAAGGAGCATGCTTTAAACTTGTGGTGGGTTGAATTTCTATGGTGGGCGTTGTTCTTTTATAGTTTTATGTTCGTGATTTGTCGTGCCCTTTGCTGTAATTCGGATCCCAAAAATCTATGAAGATCAATTACACATTTGGGTCCGGTAATAACAGCCCTAAATCGTTCCAGGCGTATCCAAGAGGCGATTTTGACTTGGAATCTGGGATTTCGAAGAAATCTCGAAAGCCCAAGAGCAATCCCTTTTTGCAGAAGATGAAATCATTGGGAAATACATTCAATCACTATTATAAGCTTCACCCAGTTATGATCTTCTTGATTTGCCTGTCATTTGGGATTGCAATCCTCATTGTGTTATCTGTGTACCATGACCAGTACAGAACTATGCATCATTACAGGGCCTTTTCTGAAAAAAAGGATATTTACCCTTTTGCTAAGCTTAGGAATCTTGTAATGGTGGCCGGGCATTCGGTATATACGAGCAGTAGGTGTGAGAAGGTTGATGACGAGAATGCTTGGTACTTGGAGTCTTATCAGAAGCATCCGGGCCAAGCCGCAACCTTTGTTCAGCATATACAGAAAGGAGTCGAGATTGCAGCAGATGATGACGTGGCGCTGCTGTTGTTCAGTGGGGGCGAAACTCGGAAGGAGGCCGGCCCACGTAGTGAGGCTCAGAGTTATTGGACGGTGGCCGAGTCGAAACAGTGGTTTGGTGAGTGGGTTATTGTCTTTTT